GTTGAGGGTGGAATTCCTTGGAGAAGGAGGAGTTGGTTCATGGGGGTTCTGGTCATGGTCAAGGGGGTTGGGGATGGAATTCCTTGGAGAAAGAGGAGTTGCAGGTGGAATTCCTTGGAGAAGGAGGAGTTGGTTCATGGGGGTTCCAGCCATGTCCAAGGGGGTTGGAGGTGGAATTCCTGGGAGAAGGAGGAGTTGCTTCATTGGGGTTCTGGTCATGTCCTGGGGGGTTGGAGGTGGAATTCCTTGGAGAAGGAGGAGTTGCTTCATGGGGGGTTGGAGGTGGAATTCCTTGGAGAAGGAGGAGTTGGTTTGTGGGGAGTTGAGGGTGGAATTCCTGGGAGAAGGAGGAGTTGGTTTGTGGGGGTTTGGGGGTGGAATTCCTTGGAGAAGGAGGAGTTGGTTTGTGGGGGTTCTGGTCATGTCCTGGGGGCTGGGGATGGAATTCCTTGGAGAAGGAGAAGAAGGAGTTTCCGTGGGAACCATCAAGGCCGGGTGGAACTCTTTGACTTTAGCTCTCCCTTGGTGCCTGGAATTTCCCTGATCCCAGCATTTCTCCCTGGTTTAGCCCAAGAGAAGAGGCTTCCGGAGCCGCTCCGGGGGCCGCTCCGACGGGGAAGGGGGTCGGAAGCGGAAACAATCCCAGAGCGGGGACGACCCCGAGGCCAAACAGCCCCGGACCGACAGCGAGGGCGACGACTCCGACAACGGTACGGCCCCGGATCCATCCCAAAGCCGCCCTTTTCCCGGGATTTCAGGGGGTTTTCCCACCTCTCCCGGGGTTTTATCCCGATCCGGAGCTGCTTCTCTCCCCTCCTGAATTGTTTCCCTTTTTTCCCGCAGCGGACGAGGGAGAAGGAGAGGAAAAATCCGGGGATGAAGGTGACAAAGGTGTAAGTGGCTCCAGCATCCAGGGAAAATGTGGGAATGTTGCGGCTGCTCCGGGGGGTGGGATGTGGAGAATCCCCCAGAAATCGTGTTTGGAGCCCGGGTATCGTGGGAGGATTTGCCCTTGGAATTCCCACGGGGATCACGGGCGGATCTGCTGCACTGAGGGGGCTGGGAAGCTCTGGGAGAGGGAAAGTTGGGATCCTGGAGGGGGAAAGTTGGGATCCTGGAGTGGGAAAGTTGGGATCCTGTGCCTGGATGTAGCTCCTGGGGAGGCTCCTTAGGGCTGAATCCCAATTTAGGGGGATGTTTCCAGGTGGGATTTGGATCCTGGGGGGCAGGTTTGGGATCTGGAAAGCTCTTGGAGTGGGAAAGTTGGGATCCTGGAGTGGGAAATTTGGGATCCTGCCCCTGGATGTGGCTCCTGGGGAGGCTCTTTAGGGCTAATCCCAATTTAGGGAAGGGTTTCCAGGCGGGATTTGGATCCTGGGGGCAGTTTTGGGGTCTGCAGATCCAGGAAAATGAGGGGCTGGGGGAGGTTCAGGTTGGACATTGGGAAAAATTCCTTCCTGGAAAGGGTTGGAAGGGGCTGCCCAGGGCAGGGCTGGAATCACATCCCTGGAAGTGCCCAAAAAACACCTGGATTTGCCCCTTTGGTGGGGGTGGGACACGGCTCAGGGGTGGCCTTGGAAGTGCCAGGTTGGGTTGGACGATCCCAAAGGTCTTTTCCAACCTGAACAATCCCACGATTCCACGACGTGGATCCCTAATCCCTGGGATCCGAGGGTTTTATCCCCATCCCTACAAACGAGGGCCGGCGAATCCCGGAAGGACAGGAGGGAATTCCCGACAGGAATAACCCCGGGGGTCTCTCTTTGTGCTTCTCTTTTCCAGGAGAACCGGAATGGGGGGGATTGGGCGGAGCCAAGGGGGGGTCCCCCCATTCCCGGGGTCCTCCCGGAACGATCCCGCTCCGGCTCCATCCGCTTCCCGCCGGGATGCGCCACCAGCTCCACGTTGGGATCCCGTCACCCATCCAGGTGCTGCCCAGCCCAGCACGTGGAATTGCCCCTCTGGAAAACCGGGAAGTGCCCAAAACCACGCGGATGTTCCCGTGATTCCCACGGCATTCCTTGATTTCCCTGCCCTGCCAGGCAGAGGGAAAAACATCCCGAGCCAAGGGATTTTCCAGGGAGGCTCCCCGGGATCCCCCTGCTTTGGTTCAGTCCTTAAATTAGGTGGGAATTCAGGTGTGTCAAAGAATCCAAGGAATTAATCCAGGGAAGGGCAGCTTTTCCTGGGAATTATCCAATTATCCGCCTCCCAACTCGGAGCTTTCTGCCCCAAAACGGGGCAGGGCTTCGGACTTTTCCTCCTTTTCCTTCTTTTTTTGCTTTCCTGATAATTCTCAAGGAATTATTAGAGGTTTATCCAGGGATTCCCGAGGAATTCTTGGGAGTGGGACGTGAGGGGCAGGTCCCAAACCATGCCCAGGGAAGCAGAACCGCTGGAGCTCCGGGATCTCCCGGGATTTTGGGGCTTCGGGAGCTCCGGGATCTCCCGGGATTTTGTGGCTTTGGGAGCGGCTTTTTCAGCCTTGGGGAAAAAAGGGGGGAACAGGGAAAAAAGAAAAATAGGAATTTTGGGGCAGAAAGCAGGAAATTCCCTCCAGGAGAGGAGAAGGAGGGGTCTGGAAAAGTCAGGGCTCTTCCCGTTCTCCCTGGTCTGGTTTGGGAGTCTTGGAAACCTTGGGAAGAGGTCGGAATTGGGAGAGATTCCGGAGCCCGACAGGAGTCGGGAGAGCGAAGAGATTCCCCCAAATCCAAGGGCTTTGGGCCCCCAAAATCCCGGGAATAACTGGGATGGGTTCCCGCAGCATCCGGGGACGGCGGCGAGGACGACGACGAGGAGGTGAAGAAGAAGAGGGAGAAGCAGCGGAGAAGGGATCGGATGCGGGATCGGGCCATGGACAGGTGAGCCCAGGGATGAGCCAGGAGCGGAATTCCTGGGAATAACGTGGAAAAATCCGCCGGGGGGTCGCGTTCTGGGGCTCCTCGTCG